ATAGCAGATAAGAGGGACAATGAAACTAACTGTAAACTGGATTTATTACGAATAGCGAAGTGTTGTATTGTTCCTATATATCGTATCCTCTAAACTCAGCCAGTCAACGCTACGCATGAGCGCTATATATTGTTACAATGTGAACAAAAAACTCCGTTATTACAGGAAAGAAAGCGCGCCTAGTAGCGAACAAAAAATTGCGAGCATTTCTAGCCAGTCTCTACCTAACTGGGTAGTGCGATCCCTCGTGCAATGGGCAGAACTGCTCAATTCAGCGAAAAGCCGGCTTTCACCTTCTCCTAGGAAAGGACCGGAGTACTGGCGTTGGGAAGAGGGCAGCGAAATTGCAAAAGTGCGCCGCTAGGCGGAAATGTCCGGTGCACTATAAATCTGTATCACACCCACTTCGCCGGCAGCGGTTTGAAACTGTAAACAACTGATTTTTGGACTGCGGATTTCAATTAGACTTTTCTTAGTAACCAGCAGCTAGCATTCGTCAACATTGCATAATCAATGGACCTATTATTCCTTTAATTATTTTCAGATCTGTACAAAATTTACTTGCAATCTATTACTATGAACCGTTAAGGTCCACTTTTGGTTCAGTGCATATAATATCACCAGGAGTGTATAATATAGATTATCTAGAGATCTATATTTAATATCAATAGATAGATAGATAGGTAGATATATTTATATATATAGAGAGAGATAGATAGATCTATATATTATATATAAAGATCTATATATATCGATATTATACACTCCTGATATTACAACAGGGTGCGAAATTAACGCGAGTCCGGAGTCAAATACTCTCTGATTTACTGTCGGACTCCCTGATTTGACATATGCAGGAGTCTGTGTGACTCCCTGAAAATTCTGCTATGCTAACTATAGTTCGTTCCAGAGCACGGCCTCGCGGAATGACCGTATTTTTTCAGCAAATGTCCAAAGAAAATTTTGGCAGACGCGCATCGCATGAATCTTACAAATATTTATGCGTTATTGTTGTTATGCTTTAGTTTTGAACTTCAGACTGCGGACTCCCTCATTTTGCTGCAGACTCCCTCTTTTTGAGGGTAGGGAGTCCATTGGACTCCCTTGTTCAAAAGTTAATTTCTACTCCTGTTACAATATATACATGGAAAATCGTAATGAAATTGACACAGCGTTTATTTTTGCGTGCCGGCAGGCTCATTGTGTGTCATTCCCGATTGCAGCTTTTTCCTCAATTCCAGAAAAGAATTTTGCTGTCGTCTTCTGATCCTCGGGGTGCCCTACCCCTATAATGAACATGCCCAGCGCGACTTTTAAACAATCCTGCACTCCTTCCCCCCTGTACATCAATCAATATGCCGCCCCAGGCACGTATACACAGCCACACTGTGCTGACTGTCGGTGACCTTTGATAATATAAAGTGAGGATGCCGTGCGATAGCCCCCCCTTCACAATTGCTAGAACTGTTTTTCATCAATGTTTGGATATATAACGTAAGGAACCAACATTTGATTAAAGTTTTAGACAATTATTATTACCGGTACTTGCCAACATGGGTGAGTCAGCTTTAGCTTTTACTCGCCCGATATTATTTTCACTCGACATTGGCGAGCGGGCGAGTGCCAAGTTTGTTCGCTGGCGCTAGTAGTGCAGATGGGGTCGTTGTCGTATCAGGTACTACAGATATGTACCCGAGGTAGTTTTAGGTTGTTTAGTATTATGTTTATATTTTTATATAATTAGGAGGTAGTTTTAGGTTGTTTAGTATTATGTTTATATTTTTATATGAGGTATGTTTAGGGTTAGGGTTAGGGTAAGGGCTAGGGTTAGGGTTAGGGTACACTTCTGTAGTACATGTCTGGTACACTTTGTGTATACATATATGTACCTCGGGTACATATCTGTAGTACCTGATACGACAACGACCCCTTGAACGCTAGTAGTGCCAATGCACATTAAATGTCTATGCGGCGCATTGCCTGGACGTCACCGCTGTCAAACCGAACAACAATAACAGAAATAGGAAATAAAATGTGAATTATCCCGAATAAAACAACCTTGTTGCCATGTTTGAATTTCCTTATTTTAATTTTTAACTTTCAGTTTTTCACAATCTTTAGTGAACAATACGTTACTTAGTTGATAGTATAAAATGTGAATTTAATCAATTTGTACTGGTTGGTATATAGGTAGAGTCTATGTGACTATGGTCAACAAAATTTTAACTAATAATGTTAATCATCTATGATTATGACAGTCGTGCATTGGCATCCAGGCATGAAAGAATCTTAAATGTGACCCCCTCCCTCCCTTCATTCCCCTCTGTCTCTCTCCCTTTCTTTTTCTTTCTAACTCTATCTCATCTCTCTCTCTCTCCTCTCTCTCTCTGTCTGTCTGTCTGTCTGTCTCTCTGTCTGTCTCTCTCTCTCTCTCTCTCTCTCCCTCCCTCTTTCTCTTTACCTCTCGCACTCCTATCTCATCTTTCCATGTATCTCTTGCACACATTTGTCTGATTCTGCATGTATGTATGCATAATAACTGCTGCTTGGCAAGAAATGCAATTTGTCAATCAAAAAATTGTGATAATGAGATTTGTCATGAGTTAGGCTCTATCAACATTAAGACAGGCCAACCTGCATAATAATTTCCTCGTATCACCGTATTGCAGTGATTATTGATGATGGAGATCCAGCCAATCTAACTTCGAAGAAAGTTAGACTGACCCTGGAAGAGACGTTAAAGGTTGACCTCAGCAGTCGGTAATGTATTACGCTTGTGAATAATGTTCATGGGGTAGAGCACTATGTACCAAGACGATATTATTGTAATGGAAGTCTGGAACAGTAACCTGTCATGTCACCACATTGTTATAATTACGTACATGTATGTTCATCTCCCTGGTCAGCAGGCGTGCAACAACTAACGCCCTCTAGTGGTTAGAAATAGCAGAATACCCTACGAGTAACAACACCTTCAACATCTAGTTGATTTTCTTGGTGATTACCATCGTTTATTGTATCAATACAGAAAGAAAGAAGTCGATGATTTGCTCATGGAGGTTATCACGAGCATGGAGAATGGAGGCGAGAGTGAAGATGATGATGATGATGATACTAAGGTGAGATGTCGAATTTCTAGTCGTAAGGATTCCCATAACGTTGGCAGACGAACCTGTAGTAGCAGTTTTGTCTATATAATAATTAACTATCTATAAAGATCAGGTTTAGTACTTCCCCTGAGAGGCAGTTATACAGTGAAACCACCTATAGAACGACCACTTGTTTATAAGGCCCACCAAACATTTTCCTTTCGATGTCATTATATAGAGCTTTGACTGTATTACTGTATGCTCTCTCACATGTTCAATGCAAAATTCGTGCACAGTGTTGTTTATTTAGTCTTGCATAAGGCATAAATGACAAGACCAATCCTGGAATTCAGAAAGAGGCCAGGGAAATATGGAATTTGGGGGGGGGGGTAGTGTGGCATTTCTGTATTATAGAGGTTTGCTAAGTCATTTATTTTAACTCATCCCAAATAAATATGAACCACATACTCGAAAAGTCGCACCTGCAGTCACAAATGTTGGTATCCTGACCCCCTAGACCCTACTGAATCCACCCGTAAATGAAATTCTCAGGCCAGAGCTCTGAATGAATGTGACCTGTTAGAAATCTGCATGTAGTGTTGCAATTACGATTGCCATTTCCATAAACGCTCAAATATAATGTAATCAGTAAAAAAAAGCATTTAACGTATATAACCTTGAAAGTTCAAAATTATGAAATCGGCTGCAACGTGAAAATTTGCAAACAATCTATGTATGACCATGATGCAATCTTAATCCCGGCGCACACGTGGCGATTTTTATCGACAGTACCGGCGATTCTGTTGCCAGCAACAAAATCGCCGAGAAATCGCCACGTGTTTAAACACTTGACAGCCACACCGTACCAGGAATTCTACCGCGCCGTGGAACCGGCTGCCGCTAGCGGCAGAGGCCGAGCGAGATCGGCAAGGCGCGGGACCGACATGGACAATCGATTTCCAGGGCGACTTTTGCTTTTGGGGTCGCCCCCGATATCGTATTTTCGGGGGCTCTTTTTGGCATTTCGGGGGCGAAATCGCCCGCCGCCCCCGTGTATTTTTTCCCCTGCCTGGTACTATCTAATATGCCGGACCGTACCTCGCCTACTCCACTAACGAGTCTAGAGAGTCGCCTACTCCCTAACCCTAACCCTAACCATATCAGATAGTCACCAGGATACGTTCCGATATATCGAACCGTACCCAGGGGCCAGGGTACCCTCCGATAGTACCCTGGGGGACATAGACCCTATGAGCCACACTGTCACACAACAACAACTCAAAAAGTGCTTTCGTCGACGCAATACTAGTGGCTACTGCAGTGTTGGAGCTTTAAAAGAAAAACCTTTTGCCAAACTGGGCGAGTGAGCCAATAAGTTAACTTGCCCAAACAGAATCTGTACTCGCCCAAATTTTAAAACAAAACTGCTTGTCAAACAATAGTGAAAAAATAGACTATGGGGGCGGGTTCGGGAAGGCAGTGCTGCCACTCAGGATATTACAAAAAAAAAGTATAAAATCTGTCCAGAAAAAAGTATCAAAATTGTCTAAAAAAGTATTAAAAAAGTATAAATTTATATCACCCTACCATGATTTGTAGTCACTTGTTACCTTAGAGTTAGACATTGTTACCGTATACATTATAGCTTATGTGCAGCATACAAACAAGCTTCAGGAATGATGTATGCAATGCCATGAGGAGTTGTCTCTTGAACCCTCGGTCTGGAATATTTCAATGCAGTTTTCCCTGGCCAAAAAGGCCTGTGAGGTGTTAAATGTTTTTTGTGACGTGTTTGCGCCAGACGAGGTTCTGGCACAGTGAGCAGCGCAGGTGCTGGCCAAGCCAGGTGGTCCGGGGGCATGCTCCCCCGGGGAATTTTTGAAAAAATTGTGCAATTTGGGGCATTCTAAGCTATTCTGAACACATTGTATGAGACTCTTGAATCTCTTTTTCAAGTTGTCAAAAGTTTCGTCAGCGAGGCGGTGTTTTGGACAAATTTTTGTGTGGCGGCTGAGAATTTGAGCAAGGTGGTCTGCCTCGTTTGTGTCAATGCAGGGGTAACACTGCAATGCGCATTGCTCATTTGACATTTGGTCACTGACAGCACAGAGCTGAGAGCAAAAACACTCCACTGAACAGAGCACACATCACTCTTGCAACAAGACTAGCAAAGCACATCTTTCATCTCATCAAGTACAGTGTACCTAAATGTATGTCCGAAGAGTTTTTAAAAGTATTTATGCATAAAAAAAGTATGAAAAATGTATAAAAAGTATATATTCTTAAAAAAAAGTATAAAGTAGCAGCACTGGGTAGGGGTCCCTCATTAGGCGAGGTCCGGGGCCCTCCCCCGGGATTAAAAAAAAAATTACACCTCAGATGCAATTTCCTGCACTCTGAGGCAGCATTATTAAACAATCTTCATCACTGAAATATCACTTTTGAGTTGAGTATTTTAATCTTTGGGCACATCAAAGACTAAAATACTTGCTTAAAAAAAGAGAAACATAAACTTCAAATTGCTGAAGGTTGAATTGCTCAGTCTCAGCCAAGTTGTGCAAGTACAATGCTAAGGCAAAGCAATGTGGTTAAAAAGTTTTATCTATCTGCCAACTGAATTAACATAGGCCTCGACACTTAAAGGAATAATAGGTCCATTGATTATGCAATGTTGACGAATGCTAGAGTAACTGGCACCTTGTGTAGTTAACCCTTTTAGAGGCAGGTTTTTGCCCAAATACGTAGTGATTTGGGCAAATTAATTCCAAAATTTTACCTAAAAACAAGTAACTTTGATTTAAACTTCTCTAGGGCATTATTTGAGGCTGAAATCATGGTAAAATCATTATGATTATACATGAATACACTGTAAGAGTCAATAAGAGTAGAAAAAGTGCATTTTCCTACCTTACTTATGATATTGTGGGAAGCATGTCTTGCATAGTCCAGGTACATGCACATCACCATTTTCACTTTCCTTACGCGATTCTGAGTCAGAACCAGGGAAATCATTGACATTGGGATCTAGGTCACTACTCTACAACTTCCTCTTCATCATCAGAATCAGATAGACATCCCACAACTTGCTGTATATTGAACGAACGGTGCCTATTTCGCACAGAACGACTTGGTGATTTACTGGAGGCCAGCATCTTGAAACAACTTTTTTACTTCTGGGTCTATAACCTTGTCAATTTGGTGATTCAATAAACATTTACCATGATTTCAGCCTAAAGTGTGCCGTTTCGTGAACATCAGAGCCCTCTCGTGATAACCAGACCAACTAAACATTGAAATCTAGGCTTTAGCCAATCAGAGAGGCTGTTAGAAATGGCTTTGGTAAAAATGACATTTATGTCGTTCTGCCCATTCTATGGGAGGCGACATTAATGTCGCTCTGCCTCTAGAAGGGTTAATAAGTACATTACCTTATAAGTTATAGCCAAACGCGTATTAGTTTGTCCAATATCACTCCTGGTTACATTACAAACAAGACTTGAAATTGGTTGTTGATATGTATCAACGTATCATTTACGTGTGGTAAATGTCATCCAGATGAGACGGGATACTAGAGAAGCGTTGCCGAAAGGAGGTGTTGACCCGAAGTGCTGAGCGCAGATCTTGCGCGCAGTTCCGCGGCAAGGCGCACGCGACCGCGGGAACGTCCTACGACAGTATGCAGCGCTGGCAGCTATGGATCCGTGCGCCGGTCTTAGCATTCGGCGCACGGGTTCATAGCTGGC